TAGTGTTTGGTTTCTTCGTCACAACGGCTGTTGCCACTCTAACCTCAGCCACCTCGCTACTTTCATGTATTGGGAACGAACCGTACTTTGTGACCACCTCACCGCTTCTTAGGTCAACTATTGCTTTTACTTTTATTAAGAAATCTGCTCCTAATATTGGTCTCGATAGGTTTTCAGTTACCACGAACGGAAAATTTATCTCAGAACCATCCACTTTTACGATACTGTTAGACACACCCAATACCTTTAACATATGCCTTCCTATGGTGTGAACTGCTACTGTACACGGCTTGAATCTCTTACATTTCTCTTTACTTATTAAAGATACTACTGTCCGTGTATCGACTAGACACACTAAATCTTGTTCATTTATGTTCACTCTTGTATAGACTGCCCCTCTATCTACCAGAGCAACAACCCCCAGATTCCTAGAGTAAAACGAACACGCGTTATAACGTCTAAAATATCTCCGTTTCTGTCTTGCTGGACAGTTTATCTTCCAGTGTCCTGTCCCTTCGCAAGCGTAACACTAATTATTCCCTTTACCACTCACTCGTAATGCCGCGATATCGTGCTGCAGCCCACACCACACTATAACTTTACTTAACTTGAGTTCACATCATTTTATTTTTCTACCTTATTGTTCAATTAAGTTATTTTTTTCTTCGCATTTAACTACATTTGATTTGATTGCTCATCCATCTTTAAATTCTCTTTTACTACGCTAATATGAGGGGCTGGAACTGGGATTAACATGTCCTGAACTGTACACTAATAGTCAATGAATCACCAGATTTATTATAAACAAAAACAGCTTTACGACGTTCGATGTATATGGTTCTCTTTCTTTTGATTTCTTAATGAACAAGTTCTACGTTGTGATTGACTGAATGAATGAACAAGTATTTACTGGCAGTTTCTATTAATGAGCATGATTTGTTATAACTTTATCAGAAAATGCTCCTTTTGAACTGACGTGAAGGATAACGAAATTGCAGATGATATATAGTGAATCATTCAGTCAGTCACAACGTAGAACTTCGTACGTACGTACATCAGTCCGAGCTGCCATACCACATTAGCACAGAGATGAAGTTGTCGATTCAAATCCCATAGTGCTAGAAGTGGTAAGAGTATAAGTATTAATGTGAAAGATTAGGGTTTGAAGATGTTATTGAAGGAGTTTAATACAGTGAGATAAATTTGGAAAGAGAAAAAGGATAGGGACATGTAGAATTTAGAAGATTAGACTTTGGCAGAACACAAAGACTGGATGCACCTTCGCCATTGCAAACGATTTTGAGCCATGTCATTCAAGGTCTCTAACCATCGGTTGCTATCATCTCGCAAATCCCAACCAGGTAGTCTACACCTACCAACATGGCTCTCTCCACTTGTCAGTGACTTCATGGATTTGTGCCGCGTTTTGGTCTGGCCACCCCTAGCTTTCTTGCAACCTACTCCTACACCATAAAACATTGCACGTCGGGGCAGTCGGTGGTTGGGCATACGTAACACGTATCCCAGCCATCTCAACTGATGAAGTTTCACTACTTCACCAATCAATTTGCCGTCATTACCTAGTACCCGTTTCCTAACAACTGCATTACTTACCCGGTGGTCCCAGGATATACGAGTAATGCTTCGAAGACACCTATGATCGAACATTAGTAGCCTACGAATATCCTCTACTCTTTTTGGCCATGTTTCATTGCCATAAAGTAGAACGGAACGAACTGCTGCACAGTAAACCCTTCCTTTGGTTGCTAGACGGATATCTCGCCTACGCCATAAATGACGCGAGTTGGTGAAAGCTAGACGAGCCTTCTGTATCCGTGCTGAGATTTCGTCACATACTAGACCACAAGGGCTGATGAGACTCCCAAGATAAGTGAAGCGGTCGACACACTCAACTACTTCACTCCCTTTCATTAGTTCAGGTGTCGATGCAACCCAGTTTTGAAGTAGCATTTTGCACTTCGAGGGAGAGAATCGCATCCCGAACATGCGTGCATAGTTGCTTATAATGGTCAGAAGACTGCATTATGTTAACGTCTTCATCAAATAGAATTATATCATCGGCGTATTCTAGGTCAACAAGTGAGTCTCCTGGTAAAAGTTCAACTCCTGGAGGTTTAGCTGATGAAAGTGTTATCTCTAAAAGTATGTTAACGACAAAGTTAAACAAGAATGGGGAGAGTGGACAGCCCTGACGAACGCCACTTGTGGTAATCAGTTCTGATGATAGTTCGCCATAGGCTCTAACTCGACCAGTTGTGTTCGAGTAGAGAGCCTTTATGAGGTTAATGTACTTCTTTGGTACTCCTTTCTGTGACAAACACTGCCATAGAACCTCTCGATCAACTGAGTCAAATACTGCCTTAAGGTGAAGAAATACTACGATTGTGGGACGTCTGAACGTTGGGTCCAATGTTGGGATGAATTCGGGGATAGCCATGTCAAAAGATGTTTTTCCTTATGCTTAAAGTTAGTATTTGCAAGAAATTGGCGGTTATCTGAGCACAGCTGCAACAGACGGTCGCCATTATGTTCTTTTCGCCATGACGCCATAAGATCCACCCACGTGTCTTTCCTTTTCACTTAGTTTACCTACTTGAGCATTAAAGTCACCAGCCACTATTACTACATCAGAACACCTAGCTTCTCGGAGAAGGTCAGAAAGTTTCCTGTAGAACTCATCTTTTATATCGTCTGAGCTGCAGTCAGTGGGAGAGTAGGCAGAGACGACGAAGAGGCAACGACGAGTTTCCCTATCTTTCCGGGTCCTTACTGGTCCGTTTAGTCGGACAGCGCATAGACGACTGTCTACTGGGATCCAGTCTAAAAGAGCTAGTTCTGCCCTAGGACTTAATGCTATACCTACTCCAGCGAGACCACGGGAAGCAGCATCAGGGCTTCCAGATGCACGAAGCGTGTATCTAGATTGTTCTTTATTTTGATAAGGTGAGGTCAAATGAATGACGCTACTCGGATCTTTTATGCACGTTTCGGAGACGCAACACACATCAATGGTGTAAGATTCTAAAGTCCTAGCTAAGGAAGCTTGTTGTCCTATTTGGCACAATGTTTGGACATTAAAAGTTCCTACATGTAGTTTAGAGCGTGGTTTCAGGAGACCAGGAATAACGTTCGACGTACTCGAATCGTTTGCCCTAGCGGTGCGAGGTGATAAAAGGACGCGAGAAGGGTTAGTTGTGGAGATAAGAGAGTTATTAGGTGTAGGAAGGATTTGAAAGTTACCAACTTGGTCTCGTGTGCTGTTACGGGTATGAGGGCTAATATCACTTCCCGGCTGCCCAGATCGTGAGAGGGTATTTCTTGAGGGACCTGAAAAGGAAGTTGGATTAGTGTTGGTCTTAACGACCTGGGAGCGTGACCGCAAAGTTAAAGGGACGACTGCTTGAGGCCGGTCAAGCACGGCCTATTTGTGGGGGGTTTTGACGTGTTAGCTTCGTTCTTTAAAGGATCTCACCGCCGGAGACTGAAATCCGTGGGATAAGGCGAGGTGTGCATTTTTAGGGTCGACCTTTTCTAACCACACCCCTCCTTGTGGGAAGGCAGCATCGCCATCATGCTGGTTGTCTGAAGGAAACACCTTACTGCCGTCACACCTCTTTACAGTCGGCAGTACGACTTCGCATTCGGACCTTGGGATTGCTGCTTTTAGTGTTACCGCTCTTCAACCGACCTGTCTGGCATGGTAGAACCTTGAGGAACGATTGTTCCAGCCAGTATAGTTCGGTTGGTTCATCACGATAGGCAAGCCCGACCACCACGTTAAGGTAGCAGCAACGGTCGGGAGTGAATTATTCACAGTGGTTTACCTCACGTTTACACGGTTGCAGTTGTAGTAAATACTTTTCGAGTTCACAAATAAAATTGGAACTGTTCCCTGATGTATTAGCTGCATCAAACAGTTATTTTGTACCAATTAATTTACCATAAAATTGGTTGGGGTCCACTCAACCATCACAACCGGTGGTTAAATACTTTGAAGTATGTGGCCCAGAATCGTTCGCAGTGGTGAATGTGCATTTACTCTTTGTCTTCTCCCAGATCTTAGGTTTCTAAATTCTTTATGAATTTTTATCATTATTTCAATTTATATGTTCTCGAATTAAATCTTGGATACCAAATCCTTTTTAGCTTTCGTTTTGAAATATTTGACAATCAATTCGTACTGTATATCCAAGTCGAGGGTCCAATACACAAACATGACACCCACTTTCAAATTTCATGACCACTACTGCAAATATATCTAAGGTATTCCGTAGAAAATTCATTAAAACTTAAAAGATGCGAAACTAAGATCCAACAAGTCAGTATCTTTAGGCGTAAATCTAGAAATGTAGCAATAAGGATTGTTCGGCTTGAAACACTGTCGATGCATGATTTCTCTGCTTCTATTCGTGAAATGAGTATGTACGCAGTATTTTATCAGTTTGTAACTCTACATGAATGTCGCTTTTTATCTGAATATGGGATATGAATGCAATGACATTTGTCTCTGATATGCTTAATTTGTAAAGAACAGAGCATTTAAAACAACTCAAATAAGATCATTAATACAGTAAAATGTTCAGCAACAACTTGGGTTCAAATTTCATTATGGAAATAGACACAACCTAACATTTTCTTTGTTACCATAGTTTAGTGCTAAAATGTTTCAAAGCTGTTTCTCACTTAAGAATCATCATAGAATCTGTTAGTGGGACATAGATTGGATGTTTCATGTATGCATGTTTCATGCGTGATGGTGTTGCTGCGCGCTGATTGGCTAATTCTAAACCGATAAGCCCGGGCATATTATTGCAGAAAAATCTAGAAGCTTCTTATGTATATACTATAAATATATGAACGTTATTTAAACTAGTGATTGCTGCTCACCTACCATTGTTATTTTGAATACAATTTCATTCCTGTTCAACGTGTTCTGATTTTGGGGTCTTATCGAGTGCCATCGGATAAGAATACTAAGCAATAGGAATAGCTGGGTCGTTTATTAGCAAAATACAATTATAACAGAATCAAACATCTCAACCGTCAGTGAAAACAAAACACGTGTTACATCAATTGAAGGCATATATAACAATCATATTAAAGTTTGATAGTAATTGACTGCATCATTGTACAGTTCATAATACTTCTTAATAAGATGTAGAAAGGGAACATCAATACCAACTACCTCCTTCTGAAAGTTTTAAAACAATTATCACAAAATATATGTTTAATGAACACGCAAAGTGATGTGTGATGGTTTGTGGTGAATCTGGAAGAAATTTTTGTAAAATGTTCATGAAATTTTGATCGCTATTTATAAAGACAACATACTGAAGTCAGTAACCCATTTTAAAAGGATCAGAAATTTCAGTGCAAGCTGTGAAGGCTGCAAAATTGCCTCTAGATCAAAACAATCATCGATTTAATATATTGGCGTAGACACTAAATATCTGGGGTTTTTGTGTTTTTGGATCACTAATTCATTATTAGGATGATTGCTTGTGAAATTTCAGAAAACCTGAGTATGAACTCGATTTTATAGAAGATTTGTAACTATGCGGAGTTTACGAAAACAGATTATAAGCAGTGCAAAAGCCTGATTTATGGGGAGTTTTATGGATACTTTTGACATTCAAGATGGAAATAGGACGATTGTATTTTTACAATCAAGAAACGTCTTGAAGGGGTTAAAATTAGTGCACCATAAATATTATGAAACAAAATTTTATGACACGTTCGCGTACGTATTACCACTAACAAAAGAGTAATTATTCATCCCTAAATAAGTCCTCTAATTGATTCATAGGTATATCCACTAAATTTCCTCAAAAAGATCACCAAATCCAAATGTTACTGAATATCAATGAATTTATATGGTTGTCTCCTATAAACCTAAGGTGTTAAATAAAATGAGTCATACGCGGTTTATTAAAATATCTCCGGTGTTGTTCTAGATAACAGAGATAAATAGAAAGAACGCTTCTAGCAAAAGATCAAATCATTGCACATATTTGTACATCTGTTAACAACCCTTGATTTTGATAACCATCGTACATCAGTAAAAGATGCTAACTCTGATTAAACTCAAATATCTCCACACTTTCAATCTGTAATCTTGAACACGGGCAAATCCTTCTGCCATTATTTAATGTATCGACAATAATTATCATGGAATAGTATTGTATGTATGTACATTTAAGCTTTCAGAAATCCATACTTCGCAAATTTCATATTGGCTATTACGGATTTATTGGAATTTTAAATGAGTCGTTGTGCAGCAGTTCTAAAACCTGAATAATCTCAATGTTTTGTTTTTTGAATTATTGATTCATGTTTGCACTCTTTCAATTACCCGTTATTGTCTTTCCATCACTATTTTACTGAGATAATAACTCTGATATGCTCATCCTAATACCCTCTAGATTTTCGTCTTGGCTGAGTAATTTTACGTCTCCAATTTCTCTTAAATAAAAAACTCATCAGTTGAATATAAACCTGCTAACAAGTGTCCTTTACAGTATTATATCAGACCAGAAGGATGTGTATAAAATAATTAAACTACGACGGACTCAAGATACGGGGACATATATTTCAAAAACGTTTTCTGAACCAGTATGTACTACAATTGGTGCACACTAGACGCCATATAAACAAAAAAATAAGGACTTACAGCAGAAGTTTCGAAATATGGAATACTTAGATCATCCGCTAACGCCTGGGCTTCTTCTACACTGTTGATACGCTTCGCTTCAAGATCTATTTTATTTCCCACAAGAACGACTAGAAGCCAGGTATATAGTAAGAAAGTGCTCATACCCGGTATACGTATGTAATTAAGGGATTTCCGGAGTTCTGTCAGTGTAAGCTTTGCACTGGAGAAGCTTTCGTGGTCAGTTACATCAAAAACAACAACGACAAGGTTGGTCATATCAATCTAACCTTATAAAAATAATGAATACCCTACATAATGATTCATGAGATCCTGAAGAACTTCGTTGCCTGGGATGTTATATAAGAACAATTCCTAGGAAATAAGTTCTTTATTGTTCACTTTACCGCACGATGCTGTCATCCACTCCTGGTATTGTCATTGTTTTGACAACGAATTCAACTGTCTTAGACTGGAGTTCTTATTGTTACTTTGAATAATCATAGCTACCATAAGGTAGTTCTTTGGAAAGTCCCGGCCACCACTGCAAAATGATTGAACAATCGATGTTTTCCCGCAGGACTGACTTCCTAAACACTTAAATACGATTATTGAATACTAACCAAGGATATAGCATTTTGCTCTCAAACTTTCGTGCATTTTCAAAAGTCACCGTGACGATGCTATGACAACCAATGTAGTGGAAATAAAGAGTATAAATGACCTTGAATTACTTTAACCAACGAAAAGACCCCGTCTGTGAAAACTTTTATGAAGAGAAAGTAATGCAGCTATAGTGATTGCTAAGAGCTGGTGCAAGTCAACTGGTTTTTTGGGGCTAGCTGTTGCGATCTATGTTGCGGTTTCAGGTTTTTGGTAGCTTCTAATGAAAATAGTCTGTCCACTCGATTCCATTAACGCGAGTAAAGTCTATTGTTATTTGTGGGCCCACATATCTACAGTCTGGTTAAATCCATTTGTGTAAGAATACGGAATCAGCAACTACCAAATTACATGCAGATGATTGTTTGATTGTAATATTAAGAGTGTGAAATTAGAATCCAGAGGAGCAACAAAACAATAATGGGGAGTAGTCAACAAGTTAACTAAGCAAACTTCATAAACGGGGGGGGCCTTGATTAACAAACGAGGGAGAGAAGATGGCCTCGCACTGCTCTTGTGGATACACTAGGGGTGAACGTTTCACACTTCAAACACACTCTGTTAAATTTTGGTACAAAATGCTCGGCCCTGAAGATAATTTGATAGCTAGGAATGTAGACATAAGAACCCTATTCGATCGACCTTAGCCAGTCGGACGGTATGGGGAATTATATCAATTACTTCTGGGAGATCCAGGAGTGATGCAAGTATGAACACTTTAAGTTCCCAGCATTTTGCTCAACTATCCATCGATGGCAGCATGTTTGTAGCACAGTACTTAGGCGTCCCTATCCCATGTTATGCTTCATAAGAAGGTCATTTTGCTGATGAACCTCATCATCTGGTCGTTTACCTGGCTTTCAGGTAACTTTAATGTCATCGGAGGCAAAGCTAAGTGCCCTTTCTCCTCCTTGAAATCAGGAGGAGAATCGCTCCTCTTCACTCCTCCGTCAACTGCTTGGATTTAAAAGAGTACTAGAATGCATTGATTTGTGAGCGATAAGAATCATTCACCAATTCCTTCAACATTGTGGAGTTCATATTGTCATGAACCAGTAATTTGCAGGTTTCCAAATTCAACAGCTTTCCTAACACTGGTCTAGGTATTAGTTGGTCAACGCCTTTGAATATTTTCAGCGTTGGAGTATCGATCCAAACATGTTGGTTCGGTTCTTTATCAAAGTGCCTAACAAAGACTTCAGTGGCACCAAGGTCATTTGAGGAGGATATTAAGACACGGTGACGACAAAATTCCCTGGACGGTGCTTTCCTTTGTGATATGAGCTGGTACAGTTGCTCCAGGCTAGACCTTGGTTTTTCAGCAGGGTCTGTTTAAAAATCACTTCTACGCTTTAAAACTCTTATTTTACACTTTTGTCTCGGCCCTAAGTAAAAGTTATGGTCGAATCTTATCATTGAGGCCTGTTAAGTATTTCAAGTTTCCTTCTTTATATAAAGTAAACATTCACTCCCCCATTTTATCTAGAGTGTTCTCTTAACTGGATTATACCCCAAATATGCAGTATTTGTATCAACCCAGATTACATGGTTATGAATTCAGTGACGAGTTTCTATCAGGAGTAAAATATCATGGACGAAATAGTCATCTATTTGGTCTATGTGGGCATTACATTTCTTATTTCTCTCCAATGAATGACGAGATGTTTGCGTTTACTAAGTGATTGTTAAGAACACTCCACGTTTGCTTGAAGTGGTGTGATCAACCGTATGCTAACAATCATAAATCTCCTCTAATTACTGTGTAAGATGTTAAGTATTAAAAAGTCTTCTAACAGAACTGGAGATTCGGTTCGTATGCTCTTCCAGTAACCCCTAGGCTATATCTACACAGCGACTAGAACACGAGAGAAAGGCACTAAACATAGAGAAAACGCCTTACTACATGGTTCGTTTATGTACAGAAAATCTGGTATTTTAGGTGGCGCTTTGTTTCCAGAAAATTCTGGAACATGCTAGTCATAGTAGCAGTATAGGTAACCATCCAATCAGAAATTCGATATGTGACTTTTTCACTTTCTAGATGTTTCTGGCCAAACTTCTAGTGAATGTTGATTGGATAAGGTGCTTCTCGGTGTTTTCAGAGCCTTTTTCGGCTGTTTGTTCGAGGAGTTTTCTGGAGCTTCCTAACAAGTATACTCCTATTATGCTATTATGCTATTCATCGGGAACTCTGCAGTGAGATCGCTGCTACTTATATGGTGCGTGTATATAAACATTTTCGACTTTAAGCCTATCAGCCCCGTACTTTTGTTGTTAGACGCCAGTTTGTTGTTCAGCCATCAGACTGGTGCTACATCTTCTTTCCTAAGAAAACAGTAGTGTATGTCAAAGCCACCATCAAGAAGTATCTTGTCACATCCCAGGATTGTTGATAATGATAGTACTTGCATTATCAGTTGTTTTTGTGTCTCAGTCTGTAGGAGTACCATTCACTCCTTCAGTCCAATATTTGTTATCGCCCCCACCGTCGAGTTATCAGATGTACTGCTGTAACCCAGCAAGTGAGAATTTAGCCAAAACCGAGGTGTTGAGGTTTCCTGTGATATAAGTGGTCCCTTAACCTTCTGGTATATCTTCCTTGTTACATAAGAATAGTGTCATACCTTGGATGTTCGCCTGATTTCACATGGTATCGAAGGCTAGTAGAATTGCAGCAGGGGCCATGATCATCATTTCGAACCGGACAAAAGTTTCGAGCCTCACCATTTTACATTTAACCTGAATGTAAAGATTTTCATCTTTTCGGCGTCTTAAGTGCCACTGTGAAAGCACGTCAAAGGTCTTTGCAAGATCCATTTTGAAGGTGAAAATCCCCCCATGTATACATTTGCGATTTCTTCATAATGGTTTCTTTATTTGTATATATTGTTAACTTTTTTGATGCCAATTGAGACTGTAACGTTTGATTTGATAATAGTTTTCTCAGTTTTCCTATCACTTTCATTGAGTTTCTGTGTTTCTTCTTGAACTGTATCTAATGTGTTTTAAATGATACTATTCTGGCGGCTGCCATATTGACTGTTCGCTCTTTGATTGTGCTGTTTGATTTTGACTGGGATCATGCATTTTGGTTGTAAATTGGAGCACTTTCCCAGAATTTGAAACACTTTGTGTTATGAAACAGCCGCTAAACCGGAATCTTACTTGATCTATCCAGAAAGGATAGAATAACACTTACTTTTTGGTGTGTTCGGTAAATTTTTATATATTTCTTACCACTTTGCTATTTATTGTAATTTAGATTGATTATTTTGGGATCCATTGTTCGTTGAATAACTGTGTGGTAATATTTCTTTAGGTAAATTTGTATGTTTCTATATATGATGAATTTTAGAACTGTTGTTACCCAAAACACCTTGTTCTGATTTCGATTGTGTCACGCGTCCATAAACTTATTCCCCTGTTATTCATCAATCCAAGTTAGGCTTGGATTTTACAGTCTTCACTTGTGTCACCACGCAAGAACTAATAGAGACTTTATTATGTAACAAGGCGCTTGGCAATATAAAGCTCAAATTTAACGCTAAAGTTTTCAACGTTATCTGAATATGTGGAAAACTTGGTCAAAAATTTGTCGGTTGGTTAAATCTTCACGCATGCGTATAGCCTTTTTTAGAGTTTCCTGAGGTTTCTAACTATTTCCAGTAAATATACCAGGTGCGACGTTCCTTTTGAAATGGTGCGGTAGTGCCTTCACTACTGTAAGGAATTGTGCACGGGGGTCTGTCAAGTCGTGCTCATAAAAGTTAGCTTCTTCGCAGCAGAATCAGGCTTAGATGTTATCGGGCCAGATTGGCATTAGCCGAAATGACGGGGTGAAAGAATCTTGATCTTAAATAATTTAGGAGCCTATTCGACAATGATGAATATAAAGTATAACGATGAACGGGAAAAAAGCTATCAGAAGGTTGATAAAATATCATAATGCGTAGAAATTAGAGTAAAATTATGATATACAAGGTCCCAACAAGGAACAGACTCAAAGTTTACAAATAGGCGTACCAGATGACGTCGTGCTCACTACTGAAGATGCCACAAGTATTCGGAGTTTGACAATACCTTACTTAGTAGCACCTACATAATCAAAGTGTGACAACCCAGTAAATTGAGAAGTCAGAAATGAAGAGGCTCGAATACACATTTGAAAGGTTATCGGTAAATCATTGATCGTTTAAGCCAAGCTCATGGAACTTTTTATTAATGGGATTTATGTACCGCTACACTGGCGATAAGCAAAAGCTCAGTCAACATTCAGATAGACTATGACGACCAACATCCCAATATTTTGGTTGAACGCAAATCTAATGAACCAAAGTTTATTCGATCAGACTAGACTTCATTCTTCTGTATAGCGTACGACGCGTCTTTGAGTGACTGGTGTTAGATTAGATCAAAACAGAAACTCCGTGCTCAAACTTAAACAGCAGCTTCAATCCTGGCTACACCGCTGAGCGTGATGCTCTTATACTCGCTAAGTCGAGGAAAACTACCGAAAATTGGAAGCTGGCTCACATCGTAGCGATTTTCAAAGGAGGTCGACGAAGCGAACCTTCAAGGTACCGACCGGTGACTCTTCTCTCTATAACTTCAAAATTATAGAGTCCCTGATATGCGATCGTATACATGACTACTTATAATCCCTAAGCTTCTTCTCACCCAAACAGCATGGTTTCGGGAGGCGTCACTCTTGTATGATTAACCCACTGACTACGGTGGACAGATGGACAGGCATCCTTGATCTCAAGGAGAAGATTGACATCACTCACCTCGACTTCTCAAAAGCTTTTGATAGGGTCAACATATATGTCTTATCAACAAGCTCAAACGATTAGGTATCAAACCACCTCTAATTGATTGACTTACTTCATATCCAAAAAACCGACGTTTTAAGGTCAAGGTTAACTTCACCTTATCCCAGGCTATGAAATGTCCTTGGCTCGGTATCATGACCTCTACTCTTCTTGATTGATATAAACGATGTAAAACTTTGAAGGGATACACAATCGAGAGGATATACTGACACTTCAGGAGGAACTGACTCTAA